CGAGCACTTCGCGACCGAGAGGCATCTCACACTCTGCCGCTGGCAGGGCGGGGCGCCCGTGGAGAGAGGGAGAGAGAGAGAGAGAGAGAGAGAGAGAGAAAGAGAGAGAGAGAGAGAGAGAAAGAGAGAGAGAGAGAGCAGCTGCAAGATGTGCTCGAGCAGGTCGCGAGAGAGGAGGGCCTCCCAGCGCGGGCGCGCTCGGTGAGCGTCGGAGGCGCCGCCGCCGTCTACCACATTTACCTGGGCGCCGAGCTGATCGAGAGGCGCGGGCGACGGAGCAGCATTTCGTTCCACAGGTTCCTGCGGGGGGCGAACGAGGGCGCGGAGGGCGTGGCGGCCAGCGTGGCATGTGACGCGACCTCGCTGCGCGTCGACTGCAGGCTGACGAAGATGGGGGGCCCGAGGCGCGCCGCCGGGGCACGGGCCGCATCGGGGGGGGACCGGACCAACCCTCGTGGCGGGCCCGATGGGGGGGGGGGGGGGCAGGGCGGCCGCTGCTCGCGCCCACCAGGGGGGGGGTTTGCCATGAGGGGGGAAGGGCGAATACTTCCCGCGCCTCCCCGGTCCGCCAGAGCTCGCCCGCTGCCCCCGCGGCGAAGGAGGAAACCCGCGTGAATGCGGCATTGGGGGTGAGGCGCGTCCGCTTCGAGGAGGAGGAGGGCGCGGACGCTGCCCAGGACGGCACCCCGCAGCCGCGCCAGCAGCTGGAGGGGGCACCCCCGCAGCCGCGCCCGCAGACGGGGGCCGCAGCCGCCCCCCCCGAGGGCGCCGGCGGCGGCCGCGACGGCTCCCGCGCTGGGAGCTCAGGCGGGCGCCTCAGGAAAGTTGGGCGTCTATCAGCCAGCGCTGGGCGCCCAACGCGGCAGGGCTGGATGGGGCCCGTGCTTGCGCGCCGGTGGCGCGCCTTGCGCCGCCGAGCGCTGGGCGCGAGGCTGCGCGCAGCCGGCGAGGAGAGCTGTGTGTCTTCCAGCCAGTGGGACGCCCAGTGCAGCGGGGCTGGGGGGACCCGCGGCTGCGGCGCCGGTTGGCGGGGCGTGCGCAGTCGGTTTTCTCTTCCCAGGCTGGGAGAACAGGCGCCCCCGCCACCGCGGGCCGGGGCGTGGGGCCACGGGGCTCGCGCCTCGGCTGCCAAGGGCGGTGCGCACCGCCGCTGTGGTGTCTCAGACAAACGCGCCCCGACCCCAGCAATAATTCAGCGCCCCGGGCTCGCGCAGGAGAGCCCCCCCCGAAGGGGGCGCAAACAATGTCCAGACTTTGGCCTCATGTGGGCCAGAAATTGCCTCGATCCCAGGAAGCGCAACAGCCATGATGACGCACATTCATCCTGTTAAAGTATCACATATTCAATGGCTTCGTCGGGCCCTCTCGGTGCGATCTGTTTCGGTTTCGTGAGCTCCTGGCACTTCGACATCGCGTTCGGACCTGGCCTTTTATGTCTCCATCGCGTTGCGCACCATTGCCGCGCCCGTCTCGTTGGGCCACATGTTGTGTTCTTCGTTGCGCGCGCCTAAATTTTGTCAGCTTGCCCGCCATCGACGTCGCGGCCATTGTCATAATCTAATTGCGCCGCAGCGCACATCCGCCCCGCCGCATTCGGGATATCGGGGTCCCAGGGGAACTGGGGCGTAAACTCGTTTTTCGACTCGCGGGGGCTCGGGCGCCTTATTTCGTCGCTCGCGTGGCCGAATGTCTGGGCCCACATGAGGGCCATTTTGGGGCCCTTGCGGGGCCTTCTCGGGGCTCCCTTGGGCTTTCTCGGCGCTCTTTTGGGGCCTCTCGAAGACCATCTTCTTCGCCGCGCGTCTTCCTTCAAGCTTTTCCTCTGTTTTCATGTCCTCCCAAACATCATCCATGTCTTGTGCGCAGCAATCATTCCTGTGAGCTGCTTTGCCATGCAAGCATTATCACATGTCACCGTGCCTTCTAACATCTGATCATCCCCCAATCATCCCCACGACATCCTCTCCAAGCCCCCATCCCCGCGGAATCCTCCCCCAAATCCCTTCAAAATCCCTGCGTCGCGCTCGCAAGTGGGCCGAACGTGCCGCATCCCGCGCCGAATCCCAACAAAATCCTTCAACAATCCAAATGGACCCTCCGCGTTAGAAGGTTGACATGGAGCGAATCCCCATGAAACCCCCACTGAAATCCCCAGTAAATCACCGTGGAATCCCCATCACATGACGACCGTGCTCCCTAAGGCGTGTTGCTGCGCATGCGCGGGACACATTGAGATGTTTCTGTGTGATGCCTGGCTTAGTTCTATGGTTCTGTCGACAGCTTCGGATCACAAAGTGTTGTGGCGCACCGATTTTCAGGAGCCACCCCAGCTCGCTGCGCCTTTGGCGTCCAAGGGACAGGGATGCACCATTGGAGTTCCTGTGCGAGATGTGGTGACATCTACCCAGCAGGTATTCGGTTACATTTCGGCGGTCCCCGAAGGCCTTTGGAGGTCACTGGCCGGAGGTCCCCGCAGCTTTCGTCACTCCACCGGTTGGGCGCTTGGCGAGGGAGGAGGGGGAGGAAGGGGAGGGGGAGGAGGAGGAGGAGGAGGAGGAGGAGGAGGAGGAGGAGGAGGAGGAGGAGGAGGAGGAAGAAGACATTGGATCTTTAGGCAGGACTCGCGGCGGCAATCTAAACGGTCGCCAGGGGCTGGGCGGCGGCGCTCTTGGACGCGGCCATCGCCCGCTGGCGTGCCTCAGCTGTGTTGTCGGGGCATTTCCGTCCATCGCGGTGGTTGTTGTGCCGTTTCTGCATGAGCTCCCGCTTCCGCCGCTCGCGTTTGTGGGTGCATTTTCTCTGCCTGCGGTGGCGGCAAGTCGGGCCAGGGGCTGCACGGCGTTTGGATGCGGTGGTCGGCCTCTCGTGTCCCCAGAGGGGGCGTTCGAGACGCGCTGCTCTCTCTCGGGGACTTCTGGCTTGCACTTAGGGGTGTGTTGGCGGTGCGCCCTTGGCGGTCACCCAGAGGCCTTCTCCGAGCTAGGCCCAGACAGGGCCCCCATAGGGGAACAAAAAGTGGCATACACATAACAACTCGGAGGCCCGCGCAGATTTCTCGCATCGGCGCTGGACCCCCCTCCCTGGCGCGCTTCGCGCGCCAGGGGCGGCGCCGGAGGCGCCGCCGGGGGGCCCCAGCGCCGATCCGAGAAATCCGCGCGGACCTCCGATTTTTTTATGTTTATGCCACTTTTTGATCCCCTACCCCAGGCTGTTTCTCTGAAATTGTTGTCGCTTCGCGAATCCCCACCAGCCCATCCAGAAACGATGCCCAGAGGAATTGCCTCGATCAGAGAAGTGGGCAGCACACAGAGGAAGCCATTATGAGACATCTTGGGATATCTTGAGCCATCTTGGAGGTCATTTTGGGCTCTCCCAGACGCTCGTGGAGTCATCTTAATCCGTGCCCCCCCCCAAGAGGCCTCCATGTGGCTAAAACCTGTGTAGAATCAATGATTAGGCATTCTCGCCGAGGCCTCTTGGAGCATCTTGGGTGCATCTGGGGGGGCTCTTGGGCCTCTTGGGGGTCTCTTGGGGGCCTCCGGGGGGCCTCTTGGGGGCCTCTTGGGGCCATTTTGGGGCCATCTTGGGACCTCTTGGGGCTTCCTGGGCGCTTCTTGGGGCCATCTTGGAGAAGATCGATCAAACAAGAGGGGGGGTTTAATTAGCGCCCCCCCTCGGAAGCCCCTAAAATCGCCTCTTGGACCCCTCTTGGAACGCTCTTGGAGTGCTCTTGGGCGCTCTTGGGGCCGTCTTGGGGCTCTTTTGGGGCTCTCTTGGGCCCTCTTGGGCCATCTTGGAACCATCTCCAGGCCTCGGATGGCCATCGGAAGCGAAAAGGCGAGAAAGCAAAAATCATTGATTTTCCTTAGGTTTTGGGACGATTTTGGCCTCTTCGGGGCCTCCTTGGGGAGCTGTTTGGCCACTTGGAGTTATCTTGGGGCCGTCTTTGGGCTTCTTGGAACCATCTTAGGAGCCATCGTGCGCGATCTTGCGCTATCTTGAGCCATCTTGGAGCTCATCTTGGGTTCTCTGAGGCGCTCTTGGAGCCGTCTTGGGCCATCTTGGACGCTCTAACTACCCGCGGCCCCCCCCGTCCAGGTCCAGGGGAGGGGGAAGGGGGAGGGGTAAACCCCTCCCCAAGGGGGAAGAGGGAGGGGTGGAAGAGGATCTGCTCTAGACCACCTACGCCCAGAGGGCTGGTGGGACTCCTCGGCTGCCGCCGTTGTCGGCAACATGTGTGCGCCCTCTCTCCTTCGGGGGGGTCCCGTGGGTCCGCTTCCCCGCGGGCGTCGGGCGGCCCTGCTGGGCCGCGCCGGCTTGTTTTGCTCTCTGTGAGCTGTGCTGTTTGAGCCTGCAGTTCGGCGCGGGGTCAGCGGGTGAGGGGTCAGAGAAAAGTCAGGAGGGAAAAACACACACACACACACACACGGACACGATGTATCCTCGATTCCCCAGGAGAGATGGGGAAACATGGGGCGGTGGGGGGGGAAGAGGGGAACCCAGAACAATGGGGAAATATGGGGGATCTGGTCATTTGTGTCCATCTATCGGTGCGTCCCAACTCCCCTTCGGGAGAGGAAGGGAGGGGCACGCTCGAGGTCTTCTGGCCCGCAGTGTGCGAGCTCCTCCGTGCCACGCGGGCCGGGGGCGGGCGGCCTCCCGCTGCCGCGGGCCGGGGCGTGGAGCCACACGGGGCTGACGCCTCGGCTGCCACGGACGGCGCGCGCTGCCGCCGCCGCCGTCGGCAAAATGTGTGCGCCCTCCCTTTCCTCCTTGGGGGTCCCGCGGGTCCGTTTCCCCGCGGGCGCCGCGTGGCCCTGTTTGGGCCAGCCCGGTCTGTTTTGCTCTGTGTGAGCTGTGCCGTTCAAGCTTTTGGTTTGCCTCTTCTCAGGGCCGCCTGCGATCCGATTCGACGCGGTTCGATTCGCTGGCAGGGCCCGCGAATCTTATTCGGTTTCCATTCGCATCGACCAGTGCCAGCCAGAGTTGGACGTGGCGATCCGATTTCGATTCGATTCGGGGCGATTCGCTGTCGATCCGATTCCGATCCGATCCGACTTCGCGACCCGATCCAGCTCCGGCCTGCCTCCCAGGTGATGTGCATGCTGGCGTGCGAGGCAGAGGACTCGCTGCTGAGTGGCTCCAGCGACGCCGCTCTCTGCCGATGGAGCCTGCAGACGGGCAGGCTCCTCCACACCACCCGGGTGCCCGAGGGGAAGGTCACGGGCTTCGTCGTGAAGGCGGCGCCAGAGCCGCCCGCGGCGAGGCCGCCCGAACCGGCAGGGGAGCCGCCCGAAGCGCTGGGCTCCCCGCCGGGCTCCCCGCGCAGCTCCCCGGCCACCCCGTACACCCCGAACACCCCGAGCAGCCTCAGCTGCCCTCTGGGGCACGCCCTCGAGCCCACGGTCGTGAGCGCGCCGCAGAGGGCGGGGATGAGCCCGGGCAGCTGCGACCGGTGCGCCAGGGACATGGTCGAGGGCGAGCTCGTGAACGAGTGCCCGCAGTGCAACTACTGGATGTGCAGCGCGTGCGCAGCCAGGGAGTCGGAGGAGGAGAAGAAGGTACCGACACCGCTGATTAGACCCCTGCCTCGATTTTGCATTTTTGGGCCTCCTGGGAGGCCCTCGTCGCCGCGGCTGGATTCGCCTCGAAATTCTGGTCAGAACGCACCCGGGGAGAGGTCCGGGGAGTATCGGTATCGATACCTTTCTGGCTTTCTCAAGGACCGCAGTCTCTCGAGCCGCGGTCTCTCGAAGGGGACCCCTGCGCCGTTGCTTTCGGCCAAGGTCGCGGAGCCGAAGAACGCAAACGTGCCGTTTAGCGGCTGGATGCGGCACCAGTTCAAGGCGTGCGACGAGAAAACGCGTGTTTGACTGCGGGGGCACTGGCGCATCAGCTGCCCGCGTAGCGTCGCGCGCAGGCGCCCTCCTCTCCGCGCGGCGTGCCGCGTGGGCGGCCCGCGTGGGCCAGCACACAGGTCCGCGGTGCCCTCGCGGGCAAGACCCCCCCCTTGTGCGGAAGGCTCGCGTCGTGTCGACCGGCGGCGACCCCGCGGCTGGCGGTCAACGTTGAACGCCGCTGGCGACCCAGAATCGGTCGTTGCTCAGCGACCCGGCGCTTCGGACACGGCCGATATCGTTCGAGGTCGGACGACGAGCCCGGGGTGTCAGCGACCAGCGCCGAAGCTGGCACAGCACGAGCCCGCCGAGCGTACCCGCGGCGCTCAGGTGTCCGATGTCCGCGCGAGGGTCCAGCGGGAGGTCCGGGGGAAGATCGCCGCCGCCCACGGGCGCCCCGCCGCCCCGGAGCCCCCGGGCGGCCCGCGCTCGGAGGCGCCCGCCAGCCCGCGCCCGGAGGCGCCGGCCAGCCCGCGCCCGGAGGCGCCCGGGGCCGCCGAGGAGCCCGCCGAGGACGGCGCCGAGCTCGTCGAGGAGCCCGCCGAGCTCGTCGAGGAGCCCGCCGAGCTCGTCGAGGAGCCCGCCGAGCTCGTCGACCCGGGCGCCGATGCGCCGGCCGGGGGCGGCATCTTCGGCGGCGCCTCCGGCAGCACCGCCATGGGCCCAGCCGAGGCACCGGCAGCGGGGCAGTCGTCGTCCGCCGCGGCGTCGCAGTCGCAGTCGCAGAGCTGGATCGTGTCCAACGAGGGGCTGCGGTCGCGCGCGCCCGGGCTGGGATACCGCTGCAGCCCGTCGCTGGAGGACAAGCACCCCGACAAGCTCATGGCCAGGTGGGTAATGCAAGAAGGCGGTATCGACTGGTAAGTTTCCCGCGCAACGTCGCGCGCAAGCGCCCTCTTCTCTAGGCGGTGTACCACGCTGGCGGCCCGCGTAAGCCGCGGCGTAAGGTCGCTGTGCCCTCTCGCACAAAAACCGTCTCTTTTCGTCGCTGAGGTGGGGGCGCGTGATCTGTGGTGTGGACATGGGAAACAACTTCGTCAGGACGACCAGCGGCACCATCGGGTACCTGCCCAAGGTGTTTCAAGGCCAGCAGGTGCTCGCCACCCAGGGGGGGTCCTGGAAGAAGGATGGAGGAGGGAGGAGGGAAGAGGGAGGGGGTCCGGATGAAAAGCCTGTCCTGGGGGAAGGGGCTTCCTCTGTCCCCTTCGCACTCTGCCCGCTCTTTCGGAGGAGGAGGAGGAGGAGGAGGAGGAGGAGGAGGAGGACGAGGATGATGATGATGATGATGATGATGATGATGATGATGATGATGATGATGATGATGATGATGATGATGATGATGATGATGATGATGTTGATGATGAGAAGATGATGATAATGATGATGATGATGATGATGATGATGATGATGATGATGATGATGATGATGATGATGATGATGATGATGATGATGATGAATGATGAGGATGATGACGACGACGACGAACGACGACGCGACGACGACGACGACCGACGGACGACGAGATGATGATGAGATGATGCTGATGATGATGATGATGATGGTGTGGTGATGGTGATGGTGATGGTGATGGTGATGGTGATCGTGATGATATGAAGAGGAGGAGGAGGGAGGGAGGAGAGGAGGAGGAGGGGGAGGGGGAGGAGGATGAGTGCCTAAGTTTGGCGCCGTTGGGCCCCTCGGCTGCCACGACCGCGGCTTGGTGTCAGGTTGCTGCGAGTGAAAACCGTCTCGGTGGAAACCCTGGGGCCCAGACCTCCAGCAACTCGATGGTCTTTCGAGCCTCCTCCGACCCTCCCTCCTCCTCCTCCCTCTCCCCTCCTCCCCTCCCCTTTCCCCTCCTCCCTACTCCTCCTCCTCCTCATCATCCTCCTCTCATCATACCTCACCCTCATCCTCATCTCATTTCGGCTTCCATCGGGGGGGGGGGGTGGGGGAGATGGGGGGCGGGGGGCGCATCTGGTCTAGACTCAGGCAGCCTGTTGCTAGGAATTGGGAATTGTCTCTCAATAATGACTCCTTCTGGGGAGTCTCAGGGCAGACCTGTGATAGGGCAGGACATGTGCACAATGTAATACAGCGTTTCGCCAGACTCAAGGGCTTCTCAGCCGCTAGCGGGCTTCTTGATTTGTCTAAGTATTATGAGCATATTTTACATGAAGATCTTTTATGGGAGGCACTTGTCACGGGGTTTCCAGTCAGGCTCCTCAAGTGCCTTTGTGCAGGGTGCAGATTGCCCAGGCGAGCTAGGTGGAAATCTTTTATCTCGGACCAGGTCCGAGCCAATGGCACGGTGGCGGCTGGATGCAGCTGTGCCTTAGCGCTGGCCAAGCTTCTAGTGCATACTGTTATTGTCACTCTCAAGGCCAAGTATCCCATGGTGAGATTTCAAAACCTGGTAGATGACTTCCTGCTTCAGGCTATCGGAGGCAGGCAACATGTGCTAGATCAGTTTCCGCAAGCCATGTCTGAGCTGGTAGAGTCCCTTCAGCATAGGCAACTTGCTGTAAATTGGGATAAGACCGGCTACATGACCAGTTCATCGGAGCTGGATTTAGAGTTAAACGAGCGCTGGAGCCTTGGTCACGAGCAAAAGCTCCGCAGCAGCAGGTGTTTAGGTACTGACGCCACGGATGGCTCGTCGAGGAGTGTGCAAGAGCAGGACAAGCGGTTGGCCAAAGCGTCATCGGTGTCAAAGCGCGTTTTTTTCGCTCAGGCAGGCAGGAGCTAGTGTTAGCACTATTATGAGGGGGTCTCCTACGGCGACGGCGATGTGGGGGGCGTCGGTCACTGGCGTTGCTGACACTAAGCTCGCCGCCTTGAGACTAGCTTCTCTGCAGGCTGAAGGGAGGGTCCCTCCAGGAACCTCTGTTGCGCTCCGTCTTAGGGCGACTCAGCGAGGGTCCACCAGGGACCCCTGGATCGTGCATGTTTGTGATGTTGTCAAGCATTGGACGTTGAGTGTCCACTCCTGTATGCCAGGCATAGGTCCTCTGCGGGCCTGTCTTGAGGAAGCGCAGCCGCTCCTCCTGAAGGATCGGCCCTGGGCCCAGGTAGTAGATCCAGCACAGGCCGCGGTCCTTTCGCTCGCCAGAATAGGGTGTCTGTTGCCTGAGGTTGAAATTCTGAGGCACCCTCGCCTTGGGGACTTCAGGATCTTGGATTGTTCGCCTGGATTTTTTGTGGATCTGATTCGGCCCCTGGCCCTTCAGGCGTCGGACGTCAATGCTTTGAAACGTTTAAAGGCGCCCTGGGTCCACCCGTTGCATTGGGGCCCTGTTGGTAAGTTGCTCGGGCAGGGCATTTCGGAAGGCTGGACTTCGCACCGAGCAGCTGCCATCAGGAGTCTGGTAGGAGGGTCGCATTGGCCCCAGGCGCGCCTGCACGCGCACGGCAAGTCGGTGAATGATCGTTGTGTGCACTGTGGCATGCGTGGCACGCTTCATTACAGATTGTATGATTGCCCTCGGAGTGCCGTTCCTCGGCGTGAGGAATGCCCGACACATGTAATGCAGGCTGCCAAGTATGTTCTAAGTCTTGGGGAGGAACCTGCCGAGATGATGGCTCGTTGCCTCTTCCCCTCGCCTTCCTTTTGCCTCCCCGAGACTGAAATCCCTGAAGAGAATGGTGTGCGGTTTGTTGGAGTGTTTCCTGGGTGGAGGTTCTCTGGCCGCGTGTTTGTTGACGGTTCGGCGTTCCACAGTCATCTTCAGGGACTGAGTCGGGCAGGATGGTCTGTTATTCAGGTCAGTCGCGCAGGTGAGCTCGTCGGAGCCATGTACGGAGCGGTGCCGTTCCACCAGGCGCCCGCGCAGTCCGCGCGAGATGGAGAGGACTGGGCTTTTCACATGCTTTCTCAGTTTTCAGAGTGGTCCTCAGAGGATCCCTTAGTCGTGCATACAGATTGTGCTGGGTCCTTCGGTTGTGCGACCGATTCAAGTTTAGCTCCTGGCCAGTTCGAATTCGCGTGCGCACATGTGGAGGGCCTGGTGGGCCGATCTAGGCAAGCAGGCTTCCATTGTCAAGGTAGCAGCTCACAGGAGCTGGAGGGAAGCTAGGTCTGATCATGATGCGTGGCTCATAAAGGGCAGCGCTATGGCCGACAAGTGGGCCAAGGCGGGAGCCAAACTTTGGAATGTGCCAAGATACCATCTGGACTTTGTCCCGGGGTGTGAGAGAATTGCCTCGGATATCGTTCGCTGGCAGAGTAGATGTCAGGATTTTTTCGGAGAGCTAGAGCAGCCTGATTATGTTGAGCTGTCAGGAACAGGGGACATAGTTTTAGATGCAGACTTGCCCCAGTATCTAATTCGTGCCTGTCTGGAGGAAGGTAAAGCGCCGTTCGGGGACTGGTCCTTGGCCGAGGGGGTTGAGACTGGTCCTCCCTCTGCTCCGAGCCTCCCCTCCTCTCCTGCTGGCACCGAAGAACCCCAGGGTGTAGACGCTGGCTTTGTTGCTGCCACTGGTGTTCCTTGGGTTTTCCGAGGGCACAGTGTTGTGCAGGCCAACGTCACATCTGATCAAGGCCAGGAACTGTCGCCAATACTATTTTGTAAGATCTGCGGCGCTTCAGCGCATTCCAGCGCTCGTGGGCTGCAGGGAGAGTGTAAAGGAGCTGGTCATCCAGGGCTCAAGACCCAGAGGTCCAGGCTCCGTCGAGGTCTGTTCCCAGGGCACACTCTTGGGAATGCTTGTGTTGGGGCGGCCCACGGGCCGACCCTTCAGATGCGCGCTGTTTGGGGTCCTTTCCTTGAGCCTGACCCTGTTCCTGCTGGTGCTGCTTCGAACAGCGAAGCTGCAGGTAATGAAGGGTTGGGCGAGCCCCAAGCGGCGGCGGGGAGCGTGATGCCCCGCGCATCTGGGGAGGTGAAGCAGTTGAGACGACTGCTGTGCCTTCCCTGCCTAGATGCCATCAGTGTCGCCAAGCTGCATGGGTTCTCCTCCCCTGATGAGCTGATACGGTGGGAAAGGTCCCATCAGAGAGCTCCTGCGGAGCCTGAATTAATCGTCGAGGATTAATTCGCGACCGTGCGGTCAGGGGCGCCCTGTGGCGACCGCATAGTCAGTACCCTCAGTACCCTCCTCCTCCTCCCCATCCTCCTCCTCCTCCTCCTCCTCCCCCTCCTCCTCCTCCTCCTCCTTCTCCTCCTCCTCCTCCTCCTCCTCCTCCTCCTCCTCCTCCTCCCTCTCCCCGGATCAGCTTTTCACCCCGAGTCCTCACCATAGCCCCAGGGCCTGGAAGCGGCCTCCAGGGGCCGAACAGGCGGGGCACCTCAGACTCGATGTCTTTCTGTGGACTTTCGGGGTCCAGGCTCTGTTCCCGCCGGGACGCTTCCTTCGGGGGTTAACAGAACCCCCACCCTGACACGTCGATTAGTGAATTGTCCGATTGGTTCTCGAGAGGGCGCCGCGGCCGTCATTTTTCAGGCTTGCGCCCGCCAGGTTTGGGCCCCACATTTTACTAAAGGGGGTTCGGTCCATCCCAGATTCCTCCTAGTGCCGACAGGTGCTGGTGCTCGTCGGCGGGCCGGCAGCGGCTGCGGCGTAGGCCGGTCAGGCGGGCGGGCTGCGAGAGCGGGAGCCTTGGGGTGAGGGTGCACATTCAGATTTCCGAGAGATTGGTTTCTTTAGTCCCCTGGCGGCGCCCGCCAGGGGGGGCGCGAGGCTGGTGGGCTTCCCAAAGGGCAGGGAGAATTCTTAGAAACAGAATTCTCAGAAACCTGCCTGGCTTCGAAGACGCTTTCTTTGAAGCATCTTGACCCTTCTAAGAAAGCCCCTTCCTTCAAGATGCCCCCCGCTTTCTTAGACGCCCACCCCCTCGCGCCACCCCCTTCTTGGGCGCCGCCAAGGTTTCTTCACCCTGGAGTTCTTCACAGATTTCGGCTTTGGATGCTGTTTCGCAGGCCCTGGGGTAACCAAACTTAGATCCGGGATGACAAGCTGCTTCTGGGTAAGGGCTCGGGAGGTCTGGGGCCGAGGGTTGAGAAAATCATATGGTCGGATGTCTGGGGGTGCAGCAGGAGGAGGACCTCTTCTCCGCTTGCCTCCCATGGGGGCTCAAACCTAGCACCACTATCTCAGAAGCATATATCTTGTTGAGCTTTGCCAGTCGTCCTGGTAGGCATCGAAGACGCCGACGGCGAACCCCCGCCGCCCCCGCCTTTGGGAAAGGTCTGTGTGGTGAAATGTCGATCGAAGGTGCAGTCATAATACCATGATAGTGGACAGCGTGTGCTCCTAGCGCTTGGGGAAGCCACCGGGAGAACGCTGGGGAGGTGCCTCCTGGGGTCATCTTGGGCTCTCGTGAGGCCATTCGAGCCTTCTTGAGGGCCGCTTGTGGCTTTCTTGGGCCACCGTGGGGCTCTCTTGACTCTTGGGCCGTCTTAGGCTGCCATGGGGCAGTCTTGCGCCTTCGGATACTGTCTTTGCGGCCTATCTGGAGCGTCTTGGGGTCCTCTGGGGGCTCTTTGGGGCCGTCTTGGGTCGTCTCGAGGCCCGTCTGGGGGTTGTATTGGGGCCGTTGGGTGCGCATGCCTCCCCAGCCAAGGTAGGATGACGATGCACCGATCTTGGGCCGCCGCTGGTGCTGGATGGGGGGTCTGGGATCTGGAGGAGGAGGAGGAGGAGGAGGAGGAGGAGGAGGAGGAGGAGAGAGGAGGAGGAGGAGGGAGGAGGAGGAGGAGGAGGTAGTGGAGTGAGGGAGGAGGAGGAGGGAAGGAGGAGGAGGAGGAGGAGAGGAGGAGGAGGAGGAGGAGGAGGCGGAGTAGGAGGAGGAGGAGGAGGAAGGAGGAGGAGGAGGAGGGGAGGAGGAGGAGGAGGAGGAGGAGGAGGAGGAGGAGGGAGGAGGAGGAGGCATGAGGAGGAGGAGGAGGAGGAGGAGGCGGAGGAGGATGAGGAGGAGGATGAGGAGGAGGAGGAGGAGGAGGAGGAGGAGGAGGAGGAGGAGGAGGAGGAGGAGGAGGAGGAGGAGGAGGGAGGAGGAGGGGGGGGGAGGGAGGGGAGAGGGAGGAGGCGGAGGAGGCGGAGGAGGCGGGCGGCAAGGCGCGGAGGCGGCGGAGGCGGATAGGAGGAGGAAGGAGGAGGAAAAGGAGGAGGAGGAGGAGGGGGAGGAGTGCGCGAGAGGGGCGGAGGAGGCGGAGGAGGCGGAGGGGAGGAGGAGGAGGTAGGGAGGAGGAGGAGAAGATGAGGAGGAGGATGAGAGGAGGAAGAGGAGGAGGAGGAGGCTGAGGAGGAGGCGTAGAGGAGGAGGAGGAGGAGGAGGAGGAAGGAGGAGGAGGAGGAGGAGGACGGAGGAGGCGGAGGAGGCGGGGAGGCGGGAGGAGGAGGAGGAGGAGGAGGAGGAGGAGGAGGAGGATGAGGATGAGGATGTAGACGCGGATGAGGATGATGAGGATGCGGAGGAGGAGGAGGACGAGGAGGAGGAGGAGGAAGGAGGAGGAGGAAGGAGGACGAGGAGGAGGAGGAGGAGGAGGAGGGAGGAGCAGGAGGAGGAGAGGAGGAGTTTGCCGCATGGAGCTCGTCTCGTCCCCGCGGGCGGGCCTCTCACCTCCTCCGTGCACGGTTGCTCTCCTCGCGCCTAAACCCAGACTTTGGCAACGCCCATGTGTCTCGGGGCGGACTTCCGGGGGGGGGCCCGGGGCGTGTGTTGTCGGATGGGGGGCCCCGCTCGAACGGGAGCCCCCGTTGAGGCTCGGCATCTTGCCCCCATAGCTCATCGTCCCTTCGGCGCCTTGCCCTTGCCCATTCCTCCACCCTATACTCTCGAGAGTGTGTTGTTTATTTCCCATCTCATGTGCGCGATGCAAGCAAAAAACAGTCGTCTGCGCCGACACTCGCGCGTAAGCTGCCCGTGTAAGGTCGCGCGCAGGCGACCTCGTTTCTCATGTGGCGTGCCGCGCTGGCGGCCCGCGTAAGCCGCGGCGTAAGGCCGCTACTCCATCTCGGGTACAGTCGGACCGAGGTATACGATCGAGGTCAGTTTGGGGATGGTACCCTAGGGTTCTTCGTGTTTGTTGGATGCTCTTGTGCATCCTGGGGAGGGTACCCTTGGTTGTTCTGTGCGTTTCGGCCCACGGAGGGTCTCGTGCTCTTGAGGGATGCTCTTCTGGCCTGGGTCCCACTGCAGGACTGCCCAGCTCCCCTCGTCGCTCGTGCGGCTCGCCGACCTCCCCCGCGTGAGACCCGCTCTTTGCTCGCCCCTCGCGCGGGCGGCGATCCGCAACGGGCCGCGGGCCGACGGCGTCGTCGGTGCTCGACGCCCCCGCAGGCCGCCGCCGAGGCCGCGGGCAGAGCGGCGCCCGCCCCGCTCGGGCGCGCGCGCCCCGGCGCGCCGCGGGCTCCGCGGGCGCCGCGGGCGCCGCGGGCGCCGCGGGCCGCGGCCGAGCCGGGCGAGCCCTCGAGGGGTCCGTCTCCTCCTGCGCTCCCCTCGCTGCTCTGCACGGGCGAAATGGGCACGGAAAGAATGGGTACGATGCCCAACAGCGGATCCTGTGCATTTTGAACAGGACTCGCTGTCCGCGCCGCCGCGGCCTGTGTCCGTTTGAGACAGGGGGCCGCCTGCCCAACAGCGGCCGCTGTTGGTTTGGGACAGCATTTGCTGTTGGGCATTGTACCCATTCTTTCTGTACCCATTTCGGGCGTCCAAAGCTGCGATCGAGATGGTCATTCCGGGTTTCGAGGGGGATGGGCACAGCCCTCCCAGACGAGCCGTCGCGGGCCCCCTCCAGACCAGCCATGGAGGGGCGGCCTTCTGCCCAGACCCCCACTGGATCGAGACAGCTCGAGTCAGACCCTTTCCGCTGACCCCCACAAGGAGTGAGTGCTTGAGACGCTCGTGAAAGTCATATCTTGTGCCAGGGAGCCTCCAGGTTGAATCTGAGGGCCTCTTAGGATGCCTCCCTGGGGCCTCCTGGAGAACTCTTGGGGGCCTCGTGGGGGCTTCTGGGGGGCTTCTTGGGGGCGTCTTAGCAGCCTCTTGGGCCTCTTTGAGGGGCCTCCGGGGCCTCTGGGGGGCACGAGGGGCCATCTTGGTGGGAAGGGCTCGAAATCTCAGGAGCTCTCTTGGGGCCCTCCAGGGGCTGTCTTTGGTCGTCTTGGGGGGCCCCTGAGGCTGTCTTTGAGCCCCCGTCTTGGGACGATCTTTGGGGCCGCTTGGGTCGTCGTGTTCGCTGTCAAAACGTAAAGTGCGAATGTGCTGTAAACAATTTGAAAACATATACGTTTTTTGTCTTGGGGGCGTCGTGGGCCATCTTGAAGCCATCTTGGATCGTCGTGGGGCTTTCCCCTGGCCATCATCACGCTATCTTCGACTGTCTTGGCGCTCTGTCTGGGCCCTGTGGGGCTTTCTTGGAGCTTTTGGAGGACTCCAGCGGCCCCCAGGGTTCGCTGGCGACGTGCCCCCCCGCCTCAGAATGGCATTTTGAACCCCAGGAGACGGGGAAAGTGGGATGGGGACAGCCAAATATCTCACACGCCTTTCATCCCTGGCACCACGCGGAGGTCGGCGGATAGTGAAATCTGGAGTGCCGAAAGAATGGGAGCGAAGACCGACAGCAGTTACTGGTCATTCTGAACAGGACTCGCTGTCCGTGTCGCCGCGGATGTTGTCCACTTGAGACAGAAGGCCGCCTGCCCGTCGGCGGCCGCTATCGGTTTTCGGCAACAGCTGTTGTTGGGCCTCGTGCGCATTTTTTCCGTACCCACTCCTGGCGTCCGAATCCCCCCTCCCCCTCCCCCCTCCCCTCCCTTCCCCTCCCCACCTCGTCGGGACGGGGCGGCCGGATTCCGAGGGGGGGTCGTGACGCTGCCCCAGGAAAAAAAAACAGCGGCCGAACATCTCAGGAGCTGCCCGTGGAGGTCGGCCAACAGACCGCGCGTGCCGCGTCGTCTCGAGCTCTTCGTGGTCGCGCGGGCGCGGCCCGCGGTCGCCGGGGAGGGATCGCGCGCGCGCGTCGCGCAGCTCGGCGCGGCGAGGTGCGAACCCTACACCCTAGGCGATGCTCAAGACAACCTAAGTTTTCGTCCAGAGTCTGGATTATTCCTAACTTTTCAATGTCAATCCCAAGATTTTGATAGAAGTTCTGGGTTTTATTCAATTTCCGAGACTATGAATTTCTTAACCCATGATTTCTTAAGCATTTCGCAGGGTGTATACCCTGGCCGATCCACGGCTCAGGCAGCTCGAGAAGCGGCGGCGGTAGGGTTCGGAGTTCGTCGAGCGCGTGGCGAGGTCCGGACCCATCCCCTGCCTCCCATCGGTTCAGGATGATTCGTGACGAACGAACAACACACACACACCCACCCATACCCATAAAGGGGGTCGTTGGGAGGAGGACTGGCTATGGGCATGGGTGCGGGTTGTCGGACCCTCGGGAACGCTCCCGTTCGAGCGGGGACCCCCTATCAGGCAACACGCACCCATAGCCCTTTCCAGCCCCCCTGTGGGTATGGGTGTGTGTTGTTGGTTCGTCAATTCAGGAGAATCGATGCTTGGTGGAGGTAGAGATCGGATGACGCCAATGCCTTTGTCCGTCTGGAGGCCCTCTGCGGCCGTCTCGGGGCCCTCTTGGGAGTTTTGGGCCGTCTTGGGGCGATGCCGGGCGCCTGTTGGGCCGTCTTAGGATTTCATCAGCCCGAAACGTCGAGCATGCTCAAATCCTTGTGAGTATTGTGGGTAATCAGTGCGTTTTGGCTTTTGAGGGCCTCCTATGCTTCCTCTTGGAGTTTTCTTTTTCCCAACCCTTCCTTCGTTGGGTTCTCGTTTTAAATAGAGCACCGTTGTCTCCATCACGCACTCACTCACTCACTCACTCACTCACTCACTTCCTCACTCACTCCTCCCTCCTCCTTCCTCCCTACTTTCTCCTCGTTTTCTTCCTCCGCCTCCCCGTCGCACCCTGGGGGGCTGCGATCTGCGAAACTGTCGCCACTTGTGTGGGCTCCTGTAAGGTCCAGCGGAGGGGTGTCCCACGGGGACCACCATGAGACCTCGCCGTCCCTGGGAGGTCCAGCGGATGGGGTGTCCTCCCACGGGGACCACCATGAGACCTCGCCGTCCCTGGGGGGCTGCGATCTGCAAAACTGTCGCCACTTTCGTGGGCTCCTGGGAGGTCCAGCGGAGGGGTGTCCCACGGGGACCACCATGCGACCTCGCCGTCCCTGGGGGGCTGCGATCTGCGAAACTGTCGCCACTTTCGTGGGCTCCTGGGAGGTCCAGCGGATGGGGTGTCCCACGGGGACCACTATGAGACCTCACCGTCCCTGGGGGGCTGCGATCTGCGAAACTGTCGCCACTTTCGTGGGCTCCTGGGAGGTCCAGCGGATGGGGTGTCCTCCCACGGGGACCACCATGAGACCTCGCCGTCCCTGGGGGGCTGCGATCTGCGAAACTGTCGCCACTTCCGTGGGCTACTGGGAGGTCCAGCGGATGGGGTGTCCTCCCACGGGGACCACCATGAGACCTCGCCGTCCTTGGGGGGCTGCGATCTGTGCTTGCTTTTGTATTGAGCGGGTCGATGTATAGTCGCCCCATGTGTACAAAGGGTTGGGTACGTCCCCGGGTAGTTTACGTTTTAGGGGCCACTTGGGCTGGCTTTAGGCCACCCAGAGCTGTCTTGGGACCGTCTTGGGCCGTCTTGGGCCACGTTGGGCCGTCGTATGGCATGACCTGGGCCGTGTTGCGGCCTTCTCGGTGTGCCCTCTGGCTGTCTTGGAGCCGTCTGGAGGCCTAAAGTGGCGTCGGAGAGCAGCGCCAGGGAGGTAGGTTTTCTGCGGACGCGCTCGACAAGGGGGGGCGGGATCGGACTCGTAAAGCATAACAGAAACTTTGCCAGACAACAGCGACGTATTTTTCACGCCTTCCCGCGTGCCGAAGGCACGGGGGCGGATACAGATCCACCCCGTCTCCCAGGGAGGGGGGAAAACAACAGCCGGACGAGGATCAGTATCGTTTCATCTATCCCAATCCCCATCGGGCCATGGTATTCCAGCCCCACCATCCCACCAGCTCTGTCAGGGACATGCCGCGTTCGAAAACCGCCCATGTCCCCATGTACGGGGGCGAAGCGGCCAGCGGGGCCCAGGCCACGCCAGTGGGGATATGGATCGGGGAGGAAGAGGAGGAGGAGGAGGAGGAGGAGGAGGAGGAGGAGGAGGAGGTGGAGGAGGAGGAGGAGGAGGAGGAGGAGGAGGAGGAGGAGGAGGAGGAGGAGGAGGGAGGAGGAAGAGGAGGGCCAGTGGGCACAGGGATCCTTTGAACGCTGCTTAGAGGGAGGTGGATCCGTGGAACCGCTCGATCCCTGTCCCCTCTGCCCACCCAGGGCCCCACCTGTCGCCCCACTCTCGAGCCTCGATGCTCCTCCCCGTCCTCCTCGAACGCCTGAGCCTCGCGGAATCCGAGCAAAAACCTGGCCGTCCCCATCGAGAATGACACATGTCGCACCACTTTCGAAACTCGATCCTCCTCCTCCTCCTCCTCCTCCTCCTCCTCCTCCTCCTCCTCCTCCTCCGCCCGCAGCCGATCACATCCATCCCGGGCTCCCCAAAGGCGGGACCGGGGAGCGGCCGGCGCTGGCCGCAGCAAGGCGAAAGTCGGGCCGCGCGGCGTGCGCCGGAGGCAGGAACAGAAGCGGTAAAAGGAGAGAGAGAGAGAGAGAGAGCGGAGGCGACGGTGGGACGGGAGTAGCACAGCAGCCCAGACCCCGTAAAGTCCGGGGGCGGCCAAGAGGGGGGTGATGACGAAGGGGGGGATATCATGGCGGGGGCCAAGATTATCTCCCCGGACTTCACGCTGCCTCTTCTTATTTCAATACGTCCCGACCGCCCCCCCCCTGGGCCGCGCACACGCCGCCGTCCATGATTTGCGCCCCCCCTCTTGGATGCCCCCTCTTGGCCGCCCCCGAAAAGTCATTAAAATGTTAACGACGGCAGGTTTTGCTATTTTCGGCTTCCGGGGGCTCTTGCCAGACCTCGGGACCGTCAAAGCACGTCTCAGGAGGAACCTACCCCAGGGAATGGTGTCGAGACCTTTTGGGGTCGACGTCGTGGGAAAAAAGATAAAACATGACGTCGGGGGGGTATGGGCGGGGAGCAGTACATGTATCCAGGGGCACCGATGGTCCACGCTTTCGCG